CTGCAGAATCAGAAATCATGCAAAATGTTCAAACATGTGACACTACTGCTGCTGTTAGGGGGTTGGGGGGAGGAGAGATTACGTAAAGTAGGGCGGGTAGTTGAAGAAGTGTGGGAGCTTGAAATCCACCGTCCTCTGCATCTCCGCTGAAGCGCGGGCTTGTGGAGCGGTCGGATGGACGGCGGCGCCAAGGAGAAACTGCGAGCGGGGACGACGATGTAGGGCCTGCTATTTTAGGTTGGGTGGAAACGGATCAGATTAAATAGTGTTCTGCCTAAATAATGAGTAATACTTGGACATACCTAGTTTTCTAGGGTTATTATGACTGGCGATCTGATCGCCGGCGGGACTGATCTTCGACCTCCTCCAATCAATCTGCTTGCCGCCTCTTCTCTCCGCTCGGGCTGATCGAGGGGGTGGCACGTCCACCTGCCCGGCCTTGGTAGGGAGGTTCTGGCCGCTGGCTTTAGTTCAGATCGGGAGAGATGGCAGCGAGTTCATTGGTGAGCGATGGAAGAACCAGCCCGGGTCGTACCCCGTGGTGGTCGAGTCGTCAGGATACGAGCAGAGGAGCTACCTCGGGGCAAATTTGACAATTTTGACAAATCATTACACAAAATGAACTGCTCGAAAAAAATTCACTCGGCTGTCCGTTTTAAGTGGCACCCGACACCCCTTCTTCAAAATCAAGCAGATCTGAAGCTTTTGGCTGTGAGTTTCTTCCCTAATCCCTCGTACAAGGTTAACTCCTCTAACCCCTTTCTTTTCCTCAGTAAATTCGTTCACATTTTTCTCATTTAGCCAAGTTTTAATGAAACCCTTGATTTGCTTGGATTTGATTTTTGTATGATAAATTAAAATAGTGTGGTGTGATTTACGATTTGTAGTCATTGTGGAACCCTAGATTGTTCAAGTTTTGGTGGAACCCTTGTGTAGATTTGTATGTAATATTGATATAGATTTGTGTGATTAGGATTAGTAGATGATTTGTAATCACTGTTGGACCCTAGTATTTATGATGGGTATTTGTGATGATTTGTCAGCGATCCTGAGGTGGGCCAAGGAGCAACGGAAGGAACAGGTAGGCCCAAGAGACAACCTCGCCTCCCGGCTCGGATGGCTGGGCCAGAGTGGGCCTAAAGTGGTGTAATACTTATACCCCCTTGTCGTGTTCTGTAATAGGCGGCGAAGAGGATAACGGCTAGGCGATGGCGTGTGCGGTGTGAGCTCCTGCGAGAGCGAGATCCCCAACTTGTAATCCTTCATTGTAGTTCGAATTCCATGGCAATGGCCGAATACAAACCCTAGTTCTCATAATCTGGTATCAGAGCCGTCCATCCTGTAGCTACTTAATCCTCCCCGCCACACCCGCCTCGCCGTCCACCGAAGGGCAGAAGCCATGGACAAAATTTCACCGGAGACTCGCGCGATCTACAAGTTCCTTCGCGCGGATTTCGACATCGCTCTCGCCAAGGCCTCGACGAAGCGCAGCGAGGAGGTGGTCAACGCCTTCGCCAAGCTGGACAGCAAACTAGATCAGCTGTCTGGCCAACTCAACGACGTCAAGCTCGCCATCGGCGTCGACCTCGACGAATTGCGGGGCGAGCTTAGCCCGAGCGAGGAACTACTCCGCCTACTTCGACGCATGTCTCGCCGAGGGAGCCTGGTCAGGGTCCTCTGCCGGCACAGGTCAGCGGTGGATCGGGTGGATCGAAGGGAGCCCGAGTCGATCTGGAGCAGCAGAATTCAAGCCCTCGGTATGTTCCCCCACCAGTTCGAGGTATGCATTCAGAGGCAATTCAGTCACGCCAATTGGTCCCAGCAACTGGAAATTTTCGTTCCTTCATTCCGGATGCGGTCAATTTAGGTCCTCGAATTGAACTTCCGCGATTTGATGGGTCCAATCCAAAACGGTGGCAGTCGCGTTGTGAGGATTACTTTAAATTTTGGAATACGCCGCAGAGTCAGTGGATTTCATTTGCTTCCTCTCAATTTGAGGGTACAACAGCTCGTTGGCTCGAATCAGTCCAGCGAAGGGCGCCTCATGTCAGCTGGTCTGAGTTTTGTGGTCTACTGCAGTCCCGTTTCGATCGCAACAAGCACCAGAACTTGCTGTGTAAGATGTTTCATATTCGTCAGACGAGTATAGTGAAAGATTATGTTGAGCGACTTTCGGAGTTGTATGATCAATTGATTGCATATGAAACTAACCCGAGTACAGTTCATTATGTCACTTGCTTTAGGGAGGGGTTAGTTCCATCAGTTCGGCTATTGGTTGGCATCCAGCAACCTATTGATTTGGATTCTGCTTATGCGCTAGCCCTGTTGTCTGAGGAGCTGGGTGATCAGTCTTTGTTCGCAGGAAATGGTGTCACCAGCAGCAAGCATTCTGTGCTTCAACCAGCAACACGACTGCCTGCGTCAAAAGTTACTGCTGAGAAGAAGTTAACTGAAGGCAGTCATGCAACACTAGTTGTTGACGATCGATGGGCTTCTCTCAGAGCTTATCGCAAGTCCAAGGGGTTATGTTTTATCTGTGGTGAAAGGTGGGCTAGAGGTCACCGTTCCAAGCAGGAAGTACTGTTGCATGTTGTGCAGGAGATGCTTGATTATGTATAGAGCATGCCAGCTGATATTAGTGACACAGAAGAGGAATAAACTATGGGTTAAGCCAATGCAATTTTTCTCTCTGTTGCTGCTCTAGGAGAAATCTCGGCACCTGCCACTATGAAGCTGAAAGTGCAAGTGCAGGGCCAACCAATGGTTTTCCTTGTTGATTCAGGCAGTACACATTCATCTGTTGATTGTGCTATGGCTAGCAAGTTAAAGGGAGTGATTCAAATGCCAGTTTTCTATGGTTAAGGTGGCCAATGGGACTCTTGTTCCCTGTAGTCAGCAATTGAAAAAAGGGCAGTGGAGTTGTGCTGGACATGAATTTGTTAATGATTTTAAAGTTTTTCCACTTGGTTCCTATGATGGAATACTTGGTCTGGATTGGCTGGCAAGCCATAGTCCTATGCAGGTGGATTGGGCTGAACACTGGCAGTCATTTCAATTAGATGGTGAGCTAGTAACACTGTTGGGACAAGATGCAGCTCCTCAAGTTTTTGCCCTCATTGAATTGTCTGCATTACCCATTACCGATGATACTTCTCAATCTGAGTTGCCTACAGAAATCCAACAAGTTTTATCACAGTTCAGTTCAGTTTTTGAAGTACCTACTAGTTTATCTCTAAGAAGAAAGTATGACCATACAATTCCATTAATTCCTGGGGCTCAACCTTTTTCTATCAGACCTTACAGATTGGCCCCTGCTGTTAAAGATGAACTGGAAATCAAGTACAAGAAATGCTGGCCTCTGGCATCATTAGGCACAGTAATAGTCCTTTCTCTTCTCCCATGATATTGGTACAGAAAAAGGATAAGTCATGGAGGCATGTGATTGATTATAGGCATCTCAATAATCTGACAGCTAAAAGTAAATTCCCCATTCATATCATTGATGAATTGTTAGATGAACTGGCAGGATCTTCTTGGTTTTCTAAACTGGATCTGAGAGTTGGTTACCATCAGATAAGGTTAGCTCCTGGAGAAGAGTATAAAACTGCTTTTCAAACACACACTGGCCATTATGAGTTCTTGGTTGTTTCAATGGGCCTGACTGGTGGACCCAATACCTTTAATTTTGCAATGTGTGACACACTGTCACCAGTGTTGAGAGTTTGTGCAGTGGTTTTCTTTGATGACATCCTCATATTCAGCAAAACTTATGCTCAACATCTGGAACATCTTGCTCAAGTGTTAGCTCTGCTGGAAAAGCACAAGTGGCATTTCAAACTATCCAGGTGTGCTTTTGCTCAAACAAAAATCAGTTATTTGGGGATATCATCAGTGGAGAAGGAGTGGCTACAGATCCTGCCAAGATCTCCACTATTAAAGAATGGCCAGTTCCTAAGTCAGCTAAGGAAGTGAGAGGATTTTTGGGTCTGGCTAGTTATTACAGGAAATTTATCTCTCATTTATGGAATGTTGAGCAAACCACTGTCTAACCTTTTGAAAAAAGGAGTGCCATATCATTGGACAGATGCAGAGCAACATGCCTTTGTGCTGAAACAGGCCCTGGTTTCAGCCCCTGTGTTGGCTCTTCCTGATTTCTCAAAGACCTTTGTGATTGAAACAGATGCTTGTGATGTTGGAGTGGGGGCTGTGCTTATGCAGGATGGCCATCCTCTTGCATATGTCAGTAAAGACCAAGGAATCAGACACTTTCATATTATGAAAAAGAGTACCTGACTATCCTGTTGGTAGTTGAGCACTAGCGCCAATACTTGCAGGTCTCTGAATTTGTTATCAGAACTGATCAACGCAGTCTGGCCAGTCTGTCTAAACAGAGATTGCATACTAAGTGGCAGCAAAAAGCACTCACTAAACTGTTGGGATTACTGTATAGTATTGCTTACAAGAAGAGCACTAAGAACAGTGTCGCTGACTCACTTTCTAGAAGGCCACATAGTGATGCTGAAATGCTACCTGAATGTCAAGTTGTCACTTCTGTTCAACCTGCCTGGATACAAGAAATTGTGCAGAGCTATCAGGATGATCAATTTGCTTCTACACTACTATAGAAGCTATCTGCCGCTCCCACATCTGATAGTAAGTTTTCTCTTCGTGCTGGTGTACTGCGAGTGGACAATTGTGTTTGGGTGGGTCAGTGTGCTGTCCTGCAAAACAAGCTTGTGGCTACATTCCATGACAGTCCTCTTGGGGGGCACTCTGGATTTCCAATCACTTACAGAAGAATTCGTCAGTTATTTCGCTGGAAAGGGATGCGGGGGTTTGTGAAGAACTATGTGCAGCATTGTTTGGTGTGTCAACAGGCAAAACCTGAGCGGGTACCATACCCCGGTTTGCTGCAACCTTTGCCAGTTCCAAAAACACCCTGGGAAATGGTCACCATGGACTTTGTCGAAGGATTACCAGTATATGGTCGTTACAATTGTCTGCTGGTTATTATTGATAAACTGTCCAAATATGGTCATTTTGTTCCAATGCATCACCCATTTACTGCCGAGACTGTAGCTGAAGCCTTCCTCAATTCGGTTTACAAGTTGCATGGCATGCCCCTGTCTATAGTATTTGAC